TTAGGATTTATATATTTTAGTATCAACTTACTATTCGTTTTGAATTAGGTACTTCAATTTTGTTTTAAAAACTATCCCATAATCTGAGTATAATCTATTATATAAAAAAAATGGAAGGAGGAACTTTTCATTTAAAAACTAGAATTCCGTATAGCTACAGCTTATTTGAAAAATAAGTACCTATAGGCTATCTGACTATAGTACAAATAATCTTAAGAATTCGAAAATATGATGTTTGAGTATATTTATTAAATAGTCTAAATTCAGAATTTGAATAAATTCATAATTAAATAAAAAATGGGCTGAGCATGGCATGGTGAATCATTCTGTATTTTTAATATTTATCTTATTGTGATAAATTATTATAGATGCTCTATAGATAGAATTTTTTTTCTCAATCGAATTACAAAAGATTATATTTTTTTAGTAAAGTACCTATACCTACCGACAAACAAAAGCAGCTGATGATTTTTTTAGAAAATTGTATTAGGTAAATGACAATTATATTTATACAAAACACTTAATAAAACAGTTTTGCGGTATTGATAATGCTAAGTAACACCTCGAAGGCTATTGTAAACGTGAGTCATCGCGTTGCCGGGTTTGATACCATAAATGGTTACGAAACTGCACATAATATTGTTGTTGGTTGTATACAACTATCACCGGCCGGCGCATATATTTACCAAGATTTGGATTCTCATCTGGCAACTGGAGCGACAGGTACATATAATATACGGTCCTTTTGACGTACGACCTATATATTTATTGATGTTTTTTTCTTTACTATAAGTATAAAAAAAAATACCATAAGAAGGTTATATTTCATTACGTCTTATACTCTTATATATGTATTATGAATTATGATAGCAAGTAGTGTAATTGTACCTAACACTGAAATGGCTATTGAGTATTATGTATACAATATACATATAGGGTATACCAGCTGTTGACAGACAACAACAATTTATTTTTCGATGAAGACATTCAATAAAATCGACCATTTAACACTTAAATCTTTTAAAAACGAAATTCTAACAAAACATTTTAGTAGGTTAACTAAACATACAGCTTTAAGGTAATATTTTATACTYATTGTGCTATTTATTTGGACATCTAATGAATTGCTATAATAAGTAAATTGCAAAAAAGTATCAAACAATTTAGGTGCAATGTGGTGTTGAATATTATTTTAATGTGTGATTTTTATGATTAATAATTATTAATTCGTTCTTAAAATATTTATATTTTAATAAGTACACTTAAAGACTTAAAGTATTGTACAGTTGTGCTCATAATAATAATATTACTTCAAGTAGGTACGCATACATATTATATACCTAATGTTTACATGCAGTACTTATGCATATATATATATATATATGTACTATTTACTGCTTAGGTAGATTTATTATTCGTAAATTATTTGAGTTTTCAAAGGGAGTCACCACCTCCCAAGCTATATTTTTAGACGCATGAGATGATAGAATATATTTATTGTATATTCGCCCCCTCCCCAAAACAAAAACGAGATACCAATTCCACTGTAAAAAGTAAAAACACAAATTAATGTTTTATTATATGAAAATATAGGTCAATGTATTAGTATAAGAAAGATAAAAAGTTTTTACATTGACTAGGAAAAAACTATATAATACCTAAATTAATATAAAATTCTTAAAAAGTAATGAAATAAATATAAATATGTAGGTACCTATAATAACAGAAACATTTTTGAAAATGAAAATCACATTAAATGTGTAAAAAATAAAACGATGAACTAGTCTTAAGAGCGCGTACTGTGTACAGTGTACACTGTACAGTGTACAATATAACATATATATATTTTATAATGAGCTTTGCCCAAATGAACGAACATATTATTTTATGGGTCAATCTATTTTAAAATGTAATTTAGGTATATATTATATATAAATATAATCTATTATCAACATTGATAAGTTTACTTATATAAAAGATTTTTATTAGGAAAAATATAAAATTACTATAAACTATAATTTTGTAAATATCTATTATTAAAATTTGTTTTAATATTTTCTAGCATACTCACCCCGTTTATTCCTTAATCCTATAAATAATTTATTAAATCCGTTCCTTCTAATTAGGTACCCTAATTTGTTATACCATTACCATATAAGGAGTGTCCTTCGATAATAATTTTGTTTTTTAATGAAGACCACAATTCTTTACTATAAATTATGCAGATTTTTCTGTTTTTGAAAACGTCGTTTTATATAAAATTAGAAATTTGATCGAGTTTTTTATAATATAGTTTCTGATCTATTCAACTTTTGCACGAATCAGTGGCGCCATATCTGTTTTTTAATAGGAGTGCCAAGATTTAAGCAGGCCAATTTTTTTTCATCAGGCCACTTTTTCTTCAAAATAGTAAACACAGATATTGTTTGTGTGTAAGTCACTTGTATGGAGTTAAACTCTTGAAGGATATATTTAAACGAATTCAAATTATTCATTTATACATTTGTTTGCTTTTTGGTATAGTAACCTAAACTTAAACTATTGCAATTTCCCTAATGCAACCAATGCAATTTATTCCAAATAACATTAATATATTATATTTATTTATTAACACATAAGATATAATAAATAATAATACAATATTCTATATGATATACATTATAGTTTTTTTTTTAAAGTGATTTATGTTATTCTATCTTATTCCTTCTACTTTTTAGTTTAGAAAATCTATCAACTGCTTCATCTAAATTTGTTTTGTTAGCATGTTCTTTTTTTTCAGATATGCTCTTTAAATTGCTTAATCGTTTGTCATCTACTGAATATCTAAGATAAGATTTTACTTTTGAGTGAAGAAAAAAATTTTTCATTTGATATAGTATTCACTGGAAGATGGTGTTTATAAAAAAATGATTGGACCCTGTCAGTGTATTGTAAATTGTAATCCAGGCCAATAAGACACAGAAAATAATAGGGCAGCCAAAGTATAACCTGTGCTCCCTCAAATGCCACCCCTGTTACGAAGAATAATAGTTTATTAAAATAAATTTAAATAATGAGAGCTAGTCTCTTGTATGTAAGCAAAAATTTCTATTGTTTTTATTAAAAATTTGTTCACACTGGTCGAAATTATCAGTAAAAAAGTCCAGTTTTTTTTTTAAATACAGACTATAGCAGGTATGTAGTTATAAATCTTTTGTTTTTGTTTCCATATTTAAGTTTATAAAGATTTTATACATTAAATTGTGGTACTATATACAGTCATACAAAATATAGTTTATAAAGATGAAGTGTTAGCTTATTCTATCAGATATTATGTGTATGTGGAATTTTACAAAGCAATAATTAAACCATTAAAATCATCATAAACGTTCACTTTCACATACTAGAAATAATTACAACGTAGAATTAACCCAGTATAATACAGTCTGTTACAATATCTATCATTATCAAAACAAAAAAGAAAATATCTACAATATTATATTTTGTTTTTAATTGTATTGAGATACACTTGGAAGTAATCGAAGTTGTTTTGTATTTATCAAACATGTACTGTCATACGTATGGACTTTATTATTTAAGACTTGATAAACTACTAAAATTATCTAAAGCTGTTACTTTTGTATGAATCTTTGTCTTGTAGGTACTATAGTTTTTCCATTGTATGTTGGTTAGTAGGTGCTAAGTATATCATAGTTATTTTATTTTTTAATTACTTTTATTATTTTTTTTAGTAGCCTTGTGAAAATAAAAATGTTTGTTTTACTTAAAGACTGCACTCTGATCAGAGTAGTGGTTATTTTGTACTTTTGTTCTTCATTGATAATTTATATTTCTTTAGAATTACGGTTATTTTGTTAAAAGACAAAAATGCATTTTTAGTATAAGAGTGGGTGTATTTCTTTATAATTGCCGACTTCTTAAAAATCTTGTTAATTATTATTATAATTTAATTTAGTTTTTATATTTTTGTGTAAATAGTTAATTAATGGAAATATATTTTTTTATATTTTTTAAGTATTCGTCATAGTTTATTGTATTTAAATAATTATTTTATTATGGCTAAATAATTTATAGAAACTTTTTTATGTAATAATATGTATAGTAGTTATGTTAAGCTAATTTTATTATTTTTATAGATTTTGTATTTATTTTTTTAACTTCCTTTTTAGGCAGAAAAGTAACAAAAACAAAAATAACAACCAAAAACTATTAAATTGTTATAGCCTTATAGGAAAATGTTTATAACAACTTGTAAAATTTTAAATGAAATAGCTTGATCAACTCTGCAAAAAGAGCACAAGTCCGCCTATATGCTTTAACAGATACACCATACACTACTGCTCCCTCAGGGCTCAGACAGCAAAGCCATCAGAAATGGCAGCAGGTCACACCATTATTTGATAAAGTTTACAATTATATAACAATAACAAATCTATAACGCACACTGTGTTGAATTAAATTTTAATCATATTAACATTACTATTTTAGGTTTCAAATTTAATTTCTAAGAAATTCCTACTGTTATTCTGAAACAAAATAATTATTTCTATTTGTATTTAATTAGGTTCCTAACATTTTCCATTTATTCATAAATGTATATATATATATATATACATTTTTTTTGTGAACAATGCACAAGTGATATGATCTAAAACCAAAATGAATTATTAATATTATATAGCTGTGTTACATTCATGTGATATTACCTCTGTAATTTATCCTCTATTCTTTGTGTGTAATATTCATTTTATAGAAACATTGTAGGTTTTCATAAATATTTACATTTTGAACCCAATATAAAGCTTATTAATTTTGTAAATAAATACTCTCAATGTTAATAAGAAAATGAACACATTTTTGTTGTAGTATATGAAGTTAAACACTTATAATTAAATATTTAGTAAAAAAAAAATCGAATTTTCTGTACATACTTAATTCAATGTTCAAAATCATTTGTATTTATAATCATACATTTTATTTAATAAAATAAAATAGTTATCTAGGGTATATTGTGAAATAAAAAACATTTATTTTGTACCTTTTAGGTAATTTATAAATTTGTTTATTCATACACTAGGACAATTTAGGCCATTGACATCGTTCGTTAAACGATACAACATTCAAAATGTTAGGCCTCAAAAAATATACTAAAAGAGTAGCAGTAAAGCCGTGTGTTTGTGCATCATTTCCAAATACGACATCACCTGCACACAGCACTTGGAACATTTGAACTTTATCTGGTAACTGCATATCGAGAGCTATAATGTCAATACTGAAGAGTTGATGGGTTGTCGTAGCCATTGTTAACATGGCTTGTTGAATTGCTGAATGGCCAGTCATACGGTTGCCGAGTACAATAAACGTACCATCTTCTGGGAACAATGTGTGGAGTATGTGACGATTTTTGTCATAGTTAGCAAAAAAGTCTTGCACGAATTTCAATATTGTGGATTCTTCACTCTCTAAATTGTCATTCATGCTATGATAGATAAAACAAAAAAGTAAGATACAATATAAATTATAATGCTTGTAAAACTTAAATATTTTAAAATAATTTATTTTGTAGTTTTTATTAAATCGTGCTACACTTGATGAATTAAGATCTCACCTAGTAATAAGTGAAAAGTTGTAATAAAATGTTGAACAAATTAAATGTATGCTGCCACAAGGAAAATTAGAAATTTTCAATTTTTATCCATGCAAAACAAAAAAAATAGCACATAATACAACTTTAAATTTTTTTAAACATGACAAAAACGTTTATTAAAATACATTTATATTCTAAATTTATAATTTATTTTCGAAATTTGTTTGGTAATTGGTTTTAGCCGTTTTAGGTTTTTAATGTTTTTATCATACTATCATAGTCAAAATTGTCAAATTATCAACAGAATTTTAGAAACTGTTATCACAGAATATATTGTGTGGTGTTATCTTCTAAAACCGTAATCACAACAATGGCCGTAGATTTGTTTGTGATAAGGATATCATACGAATATTACATTATTACGAACAAAATATTAAGCAATAAACATCAAATATTAACATTTCCAAAAATATAAATTGCATATTTGCATGATATAGTTAACAGGACGTATGTCAGCAATTTTGTGGGGCACACACAGATATATCTGTGGGGCACATAAAATTGCTGACATACTTGTTTACTTTATCATGATAATTGTTGATATTTTAAACTCAAAAAGTGAATTTTGGTGGAAATCGAAAGCATTTACAAGGTTTTTGACCATGACTTACAAACTAAGTTCGAGAGATTTTTTTGTAATGACACATAGAGAAACAAATATTGTATAATTAATATGATTAATTAAATAGTCAAAATTACAGTTAATTGATCTTAATTTTCGATTACTCAAACATACCGCGATTTAATTTCCAAAGTACTGTAACGTGGTCAGGGGACCTTGTCACGATATCAGTTAGGTATCGCCAGAAAAAGTTTTCTATTCCTTATGGATAAGTTTTCGGTAGCTGGGGATTAGACCACTATTGTGAGGTGTTTATCAATAATAAGACAAGTTTGTGTTATATATCCTTAATAATTATATATAAAATATACTTTAGTAGGTACTTTACTAGGTACTTGGCAGATGGCTGTTAATAATTGTACTGCTGAGTTCGCTCGCGTCGATGGTCAGTGGCGACTACATAGGTAGAAAAGTGTTAAGTGTGTATAATATTTTGTGTTGGTCAATCGTATAATATGGTGAGTGTTAAGAGTAGCCAGTAGGTAGGTATAATAGATATATATTATATATATATATATATATAGGCTGTAACGAACGTTACAGTACGACTACAAATTTGATATAGATGGATATAGTTTTAGTGACTCAGCTTGACGGTTTTGAAAAATACATTACATATATTTATTTCATGGCCCGATGTTTAAAATCGTATTGTCTACTCGTATAGAACATGTGGCTGGTGGCCGGTGGACATTTTTCAAGATTTGTTCTCCGCCAGAACAGGTATGATTAAGTCCTCCAGTTCTCGCCACACCAACAACGGCCAGAACATCAGCGAACCCAACCAGATGAACACCTACGGACACCGGCATCGTTAAAAGGTCGTCGTAGGCAGCATTCCAAAGGATTGACCCGAGGACTGAGCCCTGAGGAACTTCACAGGTCACTTGTCTGAAACATCCCGCGTTGTCCACCATAATAATACGCGCTCCGCAGCCAGGACCGCCGCAGCATCGAGACCAGGTAATCGGGCGTAGATTTCTCTCTGAGGGCTGCGTACATAACGGGCCACCGAAGCGTATTGAAGGCATTTCTCACATCAAGAGTTACGAGCACACAGAGGTTCTTTGTACACCCTTGAGTCACAGCTGCGCTTGCGATATCGAGGACGGGTGCGACAACCGTTTCTGTACATATGCCTTTCATGAAGCCAAACTGATCCGGGGCTCTCCTCGTCGCTTGGGCGTCAAAATTACTCTCTAGTCTTTAGACAAGCAGCCTCCTAGTAACTTGACTGGGGTATCCAAGAGGTGTATCGGCCGATAGCTGAAGGCCGAAGAGATGAGTATCTATGGGGGTTTCCCTGGGCGCCGGTGCAGCAGCACCAGTTTTGCCCTCTTTCCGCAGACAGGAAAACACTTCGCCCGAAGACATCTGTTGTACGCACTTCGTTGGGGATCTCCGATGGGCCCCCAGCCTTTCCAGCGAAGAGACGTTTAATCGCTGTTAGGAGCTCTTCAGTCGTAAACTCCGGTTGTTGAACACTAGATTGTCCGTGTCCGGGTCAAACGTGTCAAAGATATTGTATACAACTGGGGAGGGCTCAGAGTCCCAATCTGTCACCGGCCCCGTCTGGGAACAGATGAACAGCAACCTCCAATTCTTTCCCTTTGTTTGCCAATCTAGAAGTCTCATCGTTACCCAGCTTCCGCATGACCAAGCGGTAAGGTGTGCCCCGGGGATCGTTATTGACCTGTGAGAATATGTCCATCCAACTTATTTCCTTCGCCTTTCTGATTGCCAGGAACAGACTCCTCCTAGCCATAGTTTACGCGTCGTGGAGCCCATCTTGTTCATCTCTTCTAAGGCATGCTTGTTAACTCCGTCTGTGAGAGAAGACCGACCGTCGTAACTCTGCAATGTCTTCGGACCACCAGTAGACCGGGCTCTTATTATAAGGCCTGGTCGTCTCGGAGGCATTGAGATGCTGCACGTGCTTTAGTGAGGGCTCATCAATTCCATTCTACGTATAATTTCTTGCTGAAATATACTATAATTATATTTAAAAAAAAATAGTAATATTGTATATAACATGTATTAATATTTTTTTCTCTTGCTATGCACAAATTATTTATATAAAATATTGTATTAATCATTTATTGGTGGAAAACGGTAGGTATCTCGTTTTTGGAGGAAAATGGCTACGGTCAGATTTTCTGCAGTAGTGAAACTGACTCTAATGTCTGACAGAATGTTTTTATACATATTTTATAGAAAGCCATGCAATATAACCATTTAGCCCGTACTGCGTATTCCGAATTTTTTGATTAATTAAATTAAATTTTTTTTATTACTATAGCATAATAAACATAATATACAAATTTCATTGTTAAAATAACTGAAAAAACAATAAAAAAAGCAAAAATAAATTGTTTTATTTGGAATGAAAATGATGCGAAACGAACTTATGTGTAAAAATTAGATTTCTATCTGATATTTAAAAAAAAAACATTTGATTTAAAATTTGAGCCTTAATTATAACTTATACAATATGTATATTTTGTATACTATTAGTATTACCATTGATTAATGATTATAGAATAGACAGATAGCCCATGCAATGTTAATATTTGGTGACCATGCGTAGGATGCAACCACTATGGAGCGCTAGTGTAGTTGGGWTGCAAGGAGGTGGTACCCCCATCATAGATGTTTGCCAATGATATGCGGGGAAGGGAAGAGGTGGCTTATCGCGAAGTGCCGATCTAAAAATAGAGTAATAATAAGAAACTGAAGATATACCGAAATGATTGGAAATAATAATTTTATTATATTATCATTTATTACTATCTTGTTCATTGTGGAGCAACTGCCTTCCGAATTTTCTTGTTTTTTGAGTTTTAAGTTGCATTTGCATTTACAATTAAAAATTCTTAAACATGTCTGGAAATAAATGCCAATATTTAAATTGTGGAAAATCARAGAAAATGTTTCCAAATTTAAAAATGTATCGTATCGTATGTATTCTATAATCAATGGTATTACTAGTATTCTATATTATATTGAGGATGACATTTATGCTATACCTATGGACTATATGGTTATTAAGAGTTCTATGTACTTTTTGACTAAGTCAATAGGGACCATAGACCTTATACTAAGGTCTATGATAGGGACTAACCCGCGGAAAAAAATATTAAACCTAAACTGTCGCTTTTTATGGATGAGTAGCTAATGGCTACAATACTGCCTACCTATCCGGTTTTTCATGTGATTGTATAATCTGAGAATATACCTTCTTAGTTTTTATTATTTTTTCATCTTGGCTATTAATTCTTTAGAACATTTTTTTTGTAAATTTKTAACCACAAAATTTATTACCCAACAATTAACAACTTTTTAACTGAAATTGATCTCGCACAGTATGAATGACAATTTTATTTAGAAATGTACCTACAAACTACTCTATTGAAATTTGTCCATGATTTATTTGATAGGAATGATAAAAATTGTTATATTATATTCCACGTATTGTTCACAGAAGATACATTTTCTGTGCTTGGCAACAATAAGCCTGGCAGTTCAGCTATCCCATTAGATAAAATTTGATACCTATGTACCATGTTTATTTTTATATTATTATATTATAAATATGATTTCCAAAATCTAAATTTATCGCGCATTTCTTATCAATTATCATAATTAATAAAGAGTAATTAAAGACTCGACTGTCGGGTATATAGACGCAGCAGCTAGCGTTAATAATCATTGTGTTATTAGTTTATTACTTTATTCGGTATTTGCATCTATATAATTGTTATAAGAATTCATAATGCAGAGGTAAGTTCGGAAATAGTCGAGCCCACATTACCAAACCGACCGCATAATATTGTCAGTCGTGTAGGAGTAGACAGCGGTTTAAAAATATTTTAGATTTACTGCATCAGGCATAAAATTTTATTTTCCTTTTTTTGTTTTATTCCATCATAGCAATCAAGACTTCGAGAACGAAATCGCAAAATTCGTGAGTGACTTTTTCGCAAACTATGATAAAAACCGTCACATACTCCACACATTGTTCCCAGAAGATGGTACGTTTATTGTACTCGGCAACCGTATGACTGGCCATTCAGCAATTCAACAAGCCATGTTAACAATGGCTACGACGACCCATCAACTCTTCAGTATCGACATTATAGCTCTCGATATGCAGTTACCAGATAGAGTTCAAATGTTCCAAGTGCTGTGTGCAGGTGATGTCGTATTTGGAAATGATGCACAAACACACGGCTTTACTGCTACTCTTTTGGTATATTTTTTGAGGCCCAACATTTTGAATGTTGTATCGTTTAACGAACGATGTCAATGGCCTAAATTGTCCTAGTGTATGAATAAACAAATTTATCAAATACCTAAAAGGTACGAAATAAACGTTTTTTATTTCACAATAAACCCTAAATGACTATTTTGTTTTATTAAATAAAAATTTATGATTATAAATAAAAATGGTTTTGAGTATAGAATTATGTAGGTACAGAAAATTCGATTTTTTTTCCACTAAATATATAATTATAAATGTTTAATTTCATATACAACAACAAAATATGTTCATTTTATCATATACATTGAGAGTATTTATCTACAAAATCAATAAGCTTTATATTGGGTTCAAAATGTAAACATTTATGAAAACACACACTGTACCAATACAACAAATATTTTACATATTATGAAATGTATGATAAATCACAGATTAGATAATATTACACKAGTAAAACATAGCATTGTTAAATTAATAATAATGTATTTTAACATTTGTTTACATAAAGAATTCAAATTATAATCAACTAATCATATATAATTTTATTGAGATTAAAAAAAATTAGATATGAGTATCTTCTAGATCTGAATCCATATACAGTTTCACTACGACAAGTACACAAATAGCGTATACCTACTTAAGGCAATACTTTTAAAAGTGTTAATCAGAATATTAATAATATACAACAACAAAATAACAATTATGGTTAACAATACACAACTCATTTATATTGACAAAAGAAAATACTTCAGTTTAATAAAAAATAAAGTCTAGTTTAAATTACATGATTTAACTTCATGTTAATAGAATAAATAATCATTATATTAAAAATTTAATTTTTAGAATTTATAATGCAGTTTCAATTCAAAATAACTTTGAACTTTTTAGGGTACTCATACAAATAATAATAGAATTAAAATAATACCTAAAAAAATATATAAATGCAAATAATTAATTAATAACAAAAACTTATTTTTTTCTAAATTCATTTTTGAAAAATTAATTTATGATAATTAATATACTACAAAATTAGTTCCATAATTAGTAAACAAAAACTAAACAAAAAAATGGGGTTTTTCAACATTTTCTTTCAATTCATGTAATTAAAATAAATTATAAATCATTTTACTTAATGTAACTTTCTACTTAGTTATTTAGTCATTTAACAACTAATATTTCAACAAAGGTTACTTTATTAACAATTAATACAACAAAATAAATTTCATATTTATTAACATGATATTTGGAACATAACAAATAATTGAGAATAATTTTGTAAAACTAGTTTGAGTATGAAACACAATGTTACAAATATCTATATAATTCACAAAAATTGAAAATTTACCCAATTTTGTTTAACAATTTATGTCTTTCAATATGGCGTAACATTTATTTGTACAATACTTCTATTTACATTAAAAAAAAAAAAACAGATAGTAAATCATTATATAAGAATAATTAATTTTGTTTTTAGATCACAGCACTTGCTCGTTGTTCACGAAAAATACAATATAAACTTATGAATAAATGGAAAAGTTTGACACAAGTTTGGGAACTTAAATGATTAAAAATAGAAATACATATCTTTTTCTGACTAACAGTAGGAATTTCATTTAAATTTAATTTGACAAATATAGAATCTAAAATAATAAAATTAAGATGAAAAAAGGGCCATTTAAAACAATATATATTATAGATGAATACAAAATGTAATAAAAATAAAAAAAATAGCTTAACATAAATGCTATACATGAAATAGATTCTATAAATTATTTAGTCATGGTAAAATAATTAGTGAAATATAATAAACTATAATGAATAGTTAAAAAAAAAAATACATTTTCATTAAGTAACTATATACACACAAGTATAAAAGATTAAATTAAATAATAATAATAATTAACAAGATGTTTAAGAAGTTGGCAATTAAAGAAAAATAAACTCACTCTTATAGTAAAAATGCATTTTTGTCTCTTAACAAAATAACCGAAATTCTAAAGAAATATCAATGAAGAACAGAAGTACAAAATAACCACAACTCTGATCGGAGTACAGTCTTTACGTTAAACAAATGTTTTTATTTTTTAAAAGGCTACTAAAAAAAAAAAAATAAATAAATAATAAAAGTAATTAAAAAAATAAAATAACAATGATATAGCACCAACTAACCAACATACAATGGAAAAAAATATAATACAAAACAAAGAGTTATACAAAAGTAACAGCCTTTGGGATAACTTAAGTATTTTATTAAGTCTTAAATAATAAAATACACACATGTTTGAAAAATACAAAACAAAATTCATTATAAAGTTGAATGAATGTACTATGTTCAAACCATAATTGGATCCTCATCACTATCCAATGTATTGTTGTTTGAACGTTTGGATTTTTTCGTAGTATTCTTCAGTTTAGCTTTGCGATTACTACCAAGTGTATCTGGATACAATTAAGAACAAAATATAGTATTAAATATATATTTATTTGTTTTAATAATAGTATAGATTGTGACAGGCTGTATTGAATAGGGTAAACACTAAATTGTGGTTATTTGTAATATTTTTACTATAATAATCATGATTGGTATCAAATGTATGATAATCAAAGTACATATTTGAAAATTTGAGAAATATAATAACTTACTTGTATCAACATCATCTAAACTTCCATCATCGGTTGATAAGAGATCATCATCTGAATTTGTGCGTCTTAAACTTGGTAAATTGGAGGTCAAAAAGTCTTTCTCTTTCTTGATTTCTTGTATTTGTCCAACCAACATTTTTTCTTCTTCGTCCATTTTACTGGGTCCTTCAGTTGGTCCATACACCTTAAATATTCAGTTATTAGTTTCATACATAACAACTCAATAAATTTAATAATCCACATACTTTAGAAATACGCAAAGAAGATAATCGATGTGTGGCTGTATGATGTGCAGTATCTAATGTATCAATGTCAGCTAATGTTGATTTTATTTTATCCATTTGGTTGCTAATTATAGAACTGATGCAAAGAGTCTGTTGTTCAATATCCCTAAGTGATTCTTGTGCAGGAACTAATTTATTTGTTCTTAGTACACATGGGGCAAATACTATAGCCAATGAACTAGCATTCATGCGATTAACATTTTCATGTAATGCAACCCTGAAAAATGAGAATAAAGTTGTCAAAATAAATTCAAGAAAAAAATAAAGTTAAAATAAGTACCTAGCAAGATGAAAAACAAGTCTTTCCATCAAATCATAATTGACTTTTGGTAATTTTTTTAAAATGTTAAATAACGTTGAGACACGATCTTCTGATAGACTAGCAGCACGAATAAAATCATCATAACAATCAAATGTTAACAATGGTTCTGGCATGTCACGTAAAAATGACTTCAATACACTGGCCAGCACATGAACCTGGTTTACAAAGTTAAACATATTATTKAAATTAAAAGTTCATAATTACGTCAAATAAACTATATTATATAAATATTTGATAAATTATTTAATGACATACAATACAATACATTCTTGATCTAAGTATAAATAATGGCTAAAAGTTCAACAAATATTTTTTTATTATTATTACCTGATATTTTTCAAATTCAATTTTGCTTACGTCGTTGTTGTCAATGAGTTCCTTAAGTTCATTAACACGTGTTGTAAGCTATAATGAAATACATAAAATCATACATTATGAATAAATTATTTGTTTTTATCTGTTCAATAATTATATGAACGTAATAAATCACAATATTGATTATTTGTTTAAAAAACTTACCCCAGGTTTACGGTAAATGCCTTCAGTATACATTCCATACATTTCAATTATAGTTATAAGACATTCAACAACAGCTGGAACTTTACCCATACTTAAATCCAATTCACCTAAAGGACGCCCAAAAACTTTTCCTTTAACAACACAAATTCCCTTTGACTGCATGTTAGAAGAATTCATGTCTTTTAGACACTCTAGATTTGCACGAGTATAACATTTCTTATGACATGTCAATTTACAATCTAAAAATTTAAAATCATAAAAATGTAAAAAAAAATGTTATCATTGTTGTAAATATAACATTTATACTCACTTCGACACACCAAACTTCTTTCAATTGGCCACAAAAAGAATGAAGTGCAAACTTCACAAGCTGTAGGAATGTTTATCATACTCATTTGTAACATGTGCCCACCATGATTAATATGGTCTTCCGATTTCTGTTTTTTCTCTTTTTTACGTTTTGTTTTACTGGGTTTTTCTGCTTCAACTCGATTATGACTCATAAACTCATTCATAAAACCACGAAATGCATTAACACAAAGAGTCACTGGAAAATCATCTTGGATTTTTTCATTTCCACATACTGTTTCTATCACCTAAATATATTTTTAACATAAGTTCATGTAATCATATTAAAAAGTACAATATCTTACATGTAAGAAGTTGGCAATCAGATCTTTATATTTAATATTGAGGACTTGGCCGTTTCCTTGTTTATTAGCAACACTATAAGTTGCAATAAGATTTTCTTTAAATTCCCGTAATGCCTGTTTAAATATTCTATCAACTTGGGATGGTTTTTTAACTTCTTCTCGTTCAATTTTGTACAGCTGAAATAAGAAAAATAGTGAAAATAAAATTAATGTATCTATTGAGTTTAATAATTTGAAGTTGTAGATTTGAATTGTATTAGAATATGTAAAAAAAAGGAGACAGGCTATTAAAAAATATAATTGTATAGGATTTATGTGGGTCACAGAAGTGGGCATGCTAGTTTTTTTATTAACTTTGTGTCATTAAATTTTAAAATAATAACTAATAATTAATATCACATTCAAGAAATAGGTTTAATCAGGACTAAGTTAAAAATAATACTTTCTTAAATTTTGTCAATATTTTGTAATATTTGAAATTTGAAATTAATTAAATTATTTAATTTTTAATCACTATTTACAAGATACAAAACTTTTCTTAATTAAAAATAAAATTTAAATATCATAAAGTTGCAGTTTACTAGTATAMAGTTATAAATAATTTATTATGTATTCTTTTTGTGACCTACAAATAATGATCAATAATGACTATTATTAAATAGTGACCTACCTAATATCTTACTACCAATATT